ATAAAAATAACATTCAAATTCCAAGAAATTCCGTCAATACTAATTGAAGCTATACGTTTGAATAGAGTTTTCTCAGTGGGAGAGAGCGAGGCCTATCTAACACTTTTACTGCTTTTTGGGTCACAACACTCAGATAGTAAATGCAACGCCATATCGAATGAAAGAAATTAATACAATAATTTTACGCACACGGCTTTAGATTTTAACCACTGCCGTCACGATACTCCCATTAAAAGAGCTAACCTCTATTGAAGCTAACCCTTGACTTGCGCTCTACCAGATTTACACCACTGTGCGAATTCCTCAAGACAACATCACTCTCTACCATTTATACTCAAAATATTATCAGATAATGCCTATTGGATTGTAGTCGTCTCTTACCATAGGTATGCCTTACATCGAAAATATATTAATGCCTTTTTCGGAAATATTATATTCTTTTCCGTGGGAATGGATCATACAGACAGAATCCAGAGTTGTTGAACACGGTTACCTTCCTTAAATGCTTAACAGGATGGTGTTCTTAAACCATACGCATCACGATAATACGCCGATATATATATTTGGCATAACTTATTTCTTGACAAGCAGCAAGTCCTACTAATACATCTGCTGAACTTAAGGCCACAGTGCCCGGTCAAAACACACTAATTAAAATACAATCATTTTTTCCGTGTAAGTTTGCGTTTAACCACAGGTAACTCAAAAAGGATCAAATATCTTACAAAAAAATTCTCTGTCGAAAAGTCGAAAAGTCCAATTGCTGCTTCATCATTCTGTGATAACGTTCATGCTTCCGTGCCATACAGATCCATAGATAGCATGAGCGTCATATAGCGCATAAATTTATTAGTCGACAGAGAGCTCTACATTCCAATTACCTACTGAACCCATCGTAGCAGATATTAGCAATAGTTTTCTCTCATTCACCGCTAAGCCCATTTTTGCAGTGTTCTGTAAGGCAGCTGTAACATCAAAGGCAATCTTAGGAAGATTAAATTACCTAATCAAATGCCAATATTTGTGAAGTTTTTAACGTTCTTAGAATGGAAGAATAAAAGTTTCTAGTTTTTGTGACAAAATAAAGTCTTAGAAAGTTGGAATAGCGCAATCAAATGGCAATAATGACTTCTTCTGTCCCTTGTGTTATATACCTGAAACTTAAAACTATAAGAAGAAGATGAACAGTAATAGTAACTCACTAATTTATAGAATATCAGTGCCGAAACACTCATACGCTATGTAGTCCCTGCAATAATGTTTCGCACAGCACTTTGTCTTGATAACAAGACGAATAAATTTAATACTCACTTTTTGACTTTGGACTATAAATAGTAAAAAATAAAATTACATACAATGCGTACAACTATATATCTCTGGAAATCTTATATTAAATTCTTTAAAGTTTTTACGTAATTTCTAATTAATTCAAGTCTTAAGCAGTATGGGATTATTTACATAAAGACGGAGGTCTTAGAAAATAGTTTGTGGTATAGTTAGTAAAGTTTTCTTAGAGGAACTTAGTAAATGGATATATTATAGGCTTTCTGATCACTACAATGTTTTTCAGGCGCAGGTGATCGCTATTGTAGAAGCTATAGCTTGTCTGAAAGTGGAAAAAAAATGGAATAGGAATATATACATACTATCAAATAATTGGGTTAAAGGTTTTGAATTTAGTTCCATTCACATCTAGGGTGGCGTTTGACTGCTACACATCTCGAAATAAAATATCCACACAGTTTAATATTTCTCTCCTGTGGCAAGGTAGATGGAATAATCAGACGGGGTGCTTCAGGTAATCATTTTGAACTTCTAAAGAGTTGCTGAAATCTTTCTGTATTTAGCTATTAAGATGAAAAGAAAATATAAGATGAAAAGACTTAATTATATGTGGGCATCTGTATGCAATTTGACCGCGTTCTGTTACGGAATCACCTTTCAGTGCTTATACAGCAAAGCAATAAGCCAACAGGTTAAAGTGGATCGCTAGGTTTGCCGGTATGACCTAACCTAACCTTTACAGAAGCCTCAACATGTTCTATATTAGATCACATGTGTTATAGTCATATTTATTAACAATAAAAATAGCATCAGTTGCAGTACAAATCATTATAATTTAGTACATAAATATAAATTAACTGACGTGAAATCTGGCAAGACTTTAGTTAATTATTAAGTAAGTCATTAATAATAAATTTAACCATTTTTAATAATAAATAATTTTTTATTTATTATTAATTTTTTTTTTAATAATTATTTTTTGATAATATTAATAATAATAATAATTAATCTAATAATTTTAATTTAATCAATCATTTCTTTTTTCATTCTAATAATTACATTAAAATTAAAATATTCAAATTCCTTTTTTATTCAGTTTAAAGTTTAACATCATTTAATACGTTGAACATCAAGATTATACGAGGGCGGTTTGATAAGTCAGTAACTTTTTGAATAAAACAAACATATTCACTCATCTTTTAGCTCGATACATTTAGTCCAGCGTTTTTCAAATTTTCTTATTGCCTCCAAATAATAGGTTTTCTCAAAGCTCTCAAAATACGCGTTTGTTTCGGTACTGACTTCTTCATTCGACTCAAATCTCTTACCGCCCAGCCATTTCTTTAGGTTTGGAAACAGAAAATAGTCGTAGGGGGCTAAATCTAAAGAATATGCTGAATGGGGTAGCAGTTCGTATCCCAATTCGTGGATTTTGATCACGAATAGTTAATCAGCGCACGAAATTCACTTTTTTCCATTTTCGTAAAAATTCATGAGGTTGTCTGCTTTGAACGGTTATTAAACACCAACTGAACGACGTAGCTTGTTCAAAATTAAAAAATTGTCCACAGCTGACGTTACAGCTGACGGCAGCACTGTTGCGTTTGGAGTAACTGGGCAAGAAATTCAAAAAGTCACTGATTTATCAAACCGCCCTCGTATTTTTGAAGTGCATACTTAACTTAGTTAATAAAATGTTTAGCTAAAATAACTTTAATAACTGCAGGTTCTTAAAAAAAAAGTATTTAAATTAGTAAAATATAAAACTGGAAACTTTTGAAGTGGAATTAAAAGTATGAATAAATACAGGAAAAGTTTAAATAATTACGATGACAACAATGTTAATTAAGCTGAGATATTTAATACTCTTACACAAACTGCTTTTAATTTAGTAACCATTAAACCAACTGGTTGATTCAGTTTACATTTATAGTATTTCTTCTTAGAACTCATATTTGATGCTGTTTTTAAGTCTTTAATATAGATTTGTAGAAAGGTTCAAGAACAAAATCAATTTAAAAACTTTAGAAAAAAAATTTGAAGTATTTTAAATTTTTTAAAGATTTTGAAATGACCATAATAATAAAACTATTTGAAATAGTCATCGCTAAGTAAGATGACTAATAATAATAACTTAATAATTCCTTAATATCGACAATTTTAAAAAATTCTTATTAAAAATATTCTTATTTAAAATATTTTGCACATTATTAACACTTTATTAATAAATGTATTTAGTACTAACATTTATTATTAGTAAACGTTAGAACTGCTGTGGTTCTGCTGTAGGGTTTGTCGCTCCACGACAAACCCTATTAAACACTATCAAGATTTCTTTCATTGTAATTATAAATTAATATATATAAGTTAATGAGTAATTTATTTTATTAATGTTTTTATTTATAATATTATTATATTGAAACTATTTGAGCCAGTGCACTTAAGCACTTTTACTCTTTCTTAACTCGAGGTTTTTAAAACCCCTCTTTACGCCTTGACTGGATTATTCTTTATCACTTCATCAGACTAAGCAATAATTGACCTTAGATCTGCATACCTCCCCCAGGAGCCTGTAACTATTCTGAGATTTGATAACGCGGTGTTGGTAAGTCTGTCAGTTTTAATTGTTTATACTACTTGTAAATATTTTTTGCGCCGACGTTTTTCTCTAAAATTCTTAAAGTTTCTCCAGCAAAATATTACGAAAACAATATTTAATCAAACTTAGATATTGAAAAAAAGCTAATGGACACTTAATTATAATTATTCATAAACTTATGTGTAACTAAATCCAGATATTGACATGCATTTTGATATAGATGATATCAGGGATAGTACTAAACAGGGTTGTCGGAATCGAAAAGAATATTTTAGGTTAAAATTTTACCATACTTTTTGATTACAGCACTATCTTTATATCGCACTAATTTTAAAAATATTTTTTGTTTTAGGAACGATGACAAATCTTGGTGATTTTTTTAGAGATTTATCTACAAATGTTAATTTCTCAGAGAACTCTAAATTAAGTCACTCAGGAAAGAAATTACTTGAAGGTGAGCACTCTTTACGTAGCATTTTGGAAGAGCAATTTTCGAATGATAAAGACGTGACAGATGGTGATCCCAACACTAAAACAAGTGGCGTATTACATGCAATACGTAATTATCGTCCATCACAAAAGATACGCTCGTTAGTAGCTATGAATCCACCTGGATATCATGGTTCACATTTCATTGATCCAAACTACATGTGGGTGGGTTTGGGTAAATAATAGTCGATTATGGCAATTATGAATGGTTGTCAGGGACATACACATATCGTACTTGTAAAATATTAAATATAAAAATTATTTATTTTATTTTATTATAAAAATATTATATATATAAAATTGTATAACACTTGAACTAGATAAACTTTTTCTTTTGAATTTACAACGAATGCATTGATATTGTTATTGTTTTAGTCATAGAAAACTACTGTGCAATCCCTGTCCTGCCATTCATAGAGTGCGATGTTCTTTTTTTTAATAACTATATATATATATATATAATAAATGTAATGTAACTAAGTGTTTTATTCCAGTTCAAATGTTTAAAGATTTAATTAATCTATAAATAAATATATATAAGCAATATGCAATATTATGTTTTAAAATTAATATTTTAGAATTATTGAAGATAGGTGAAACTGAGTGGATAATCTTATTCACATCTACGTTACTTATAACTTCAATACTTAAATCAAACAGATACTGTTTTAATACACTTAATATTTATTACACTATTTAATATTACAAATATATATTAGAATATGTGTCTCTCATATAAACTGGGCCATTCCATAACATGTATGTAATTCGGGAAACTTCTAATGAACTCTTCTCCAGCAGCCCCACGATCATGTTCAAAACTAACGAAATGTGTGGAAACTCCAAGTTCGAAGAGTGGTCCATCAAGTGAACCACTTGTTTTCTAAAATTTATAAAATAATAATATAATTAATAAATTATAATTAAATGAAATAAATAAAAAATATGCGAATTGAGACTAAAAAAGTTATAAAAGAATATTGCTCCTTACCTTCAATTCAAAATAGAATTTTAATGGTGTATCATCTGCACAATAATCAAAGAAGATATGATAAGGTGGTTGCCATTTATCTGGTTGTTCCAACATATTTCTAATGAATGACCAATCAGTTATAGTAACGCCATCCAATGCTTGTACAAACAGACTATGATGTGTTGAACCCTTTAGCTCGAACTCATAACGTACTCTCCTAGCGACGTCATCGACGGATCGATTAAGTAGTGTTAAGGTTGGTGTGAATGGTATGTGAACAGGTTGTTCTGTTGGTAACCATCTGCCTTCATTGCGTGCCTTCGCCCATCTATGATTAAATACAGGGAAACCACACATCATGTGCTCTTCACAATCTTGTGTAACAACCCTTAGTTTACTTAAATCGAGAGCATCTGGAAAATATTTAATATATTACTTTTACTACTATCAATTAGACTTTTGAATTGTTGTTGTCATACTTTCAATAGGATAGTGTATACGTCTATCTTGGAAATCGAAATAATAGCCAGACTCATTCCTGCTCACTGTACCATCATATTCGTAGAATACGCGGCGAACGTGCTAGAAGAAATTAATATTAATATAAACAATAGTTGTATTAATGTATTTAAAATTAATAAAAGTTAAGTTATGCTTTTATACAATATCTTAAAAAAACATTTATCAAAACTTGTATAGTTCGCAAGTATGATTTTTAATCACATTTACTTACCAAGAAATTCACCCGTCCAACACTAGTTTTTGCGCGATATGGAAAACCAACAGGAGTTAAGGAAATAATCACAAAAATGATCATAACTCCTATCAACAAAAATAGAGCTGACTTTGGACGACGGAAAAGACTTATTAAATGTATCTAAAATGATATACAATATTTTTTGGAAGTCCTTAACAAATATTGAAAACTTAAGAGACTTACAATGAAACCCATAGATAACACTGTTCCTAATAAAGTTAAGATACCAATCAAAAGATCGGGATTAATAGCTGTACCATTACGACCAGTCATAGGAATAACAGTGCACAATAACTCATAAATCAAAAATGTGAAATAGAAGAATGGTGCCAATTGTCCTATAATTAAGAGTATCGACCAAGAATAACCTGAAATATTTGCAAAGAGGATTATAATTTATTTAACCGATGAATGAAAAATATATTGAGTTTACCCTGATCATGTAATGTAGTTATCAAGTTGAGCAGTAATGCGCAAACGTAGAAACCTAATGACAGCATAGGTAAATAAGTGCTACGTATACCATATAAGGTAAGTAAGATACAAATGATGGCCAATAAAATACAATGTGCATGCATCACCATTTGTAGTTTGTAGGAATGTGCAATTTTTTGCTAAAAGTTGATAAATATTAACACAAATAATTTTGATTTAAATTATGTTAACTTACATTATTACTAAGGCTTAGGTAGAATACAGTAGGCGCAGCTAAACCAAAAAGTGCTGGACACACATACAGACCTATGACAAGCCATTTATTTGTGAACCAAGTCATTGAGAGATCAGCCATGTCATATAACGTAGCAATAATAATCGGAAGTACAACAGCTAGGACGAAACCTAGAATGTGTAACATAAAAATCAACAAAAATTGTGACCAAACATCGGATGATGGAGCACGGGAGGCTGTAGCAATTCGTAGTATAGATATAACAACAAGTATTATTGCAGCGACAGCTACCGAGAGGTTTATAATCTTTCCTTGCGTTTCGGTGTAAGAGATGAAAAATTTACCCATAACATCGAAGAAAACTGTGTGACCCTTTGAGTGTAGCTATTAATTTAATTAAGAAATTGAGAAATCAAATATAAATCTTATTAAATAACTAATTTTTATACTACCTCTGGATTTTCCATTTCAGGTGCATTAGCAAAGCCACGGGATAGACTAAGTAAATTCTCACCAGTGTGTTGAAGGTTACCACGGGGTATAACATCGAAAGTATCGAACTTAGTATGATAGACGTAGCCGTTATAAGAATGTGCAAAATCCAAACCTAGAAAAATGTTTTATTAAGAAAGTTTGCATTATAAACAATTTGTGTATAAAAAATTTACCAGGTAAGCTTCCAAAATCTCTGAAAATTCTGAAATCTGTATCAGAAGGTATAAGATTCGCGTGGAAAACTTCTTCTGCCATTGTTGTTGCAAATGGGCGTTTAACATGTTTGCGGTAAGTCTATAATAAATGTAAAAAAAATTTAAATTTTTTATTGTTATTTATCCAAAAGGATATGCTGACATATAATTTCCTTGAGTACCAATAATAATCTTAAATACCTAATATCTAATTATTATCGAACAGTGATACTATTATCGAACAGTGGTACTATATGGAGCAATACTTTACGTTGATTTGTATACAATATCAAGAAAGATATGGACAATTAGTGCATATCTATGGAGTTTTTGCAGCTTTCTTTTTGAGACGTTTTCTAATTCTAATTTTAAGCATGTACGCGGCAACGCATGACATAGGAATAAGACTTCTTCCAAAATCTCTTTCACTCCCTTTTAATGCCAACGTAAAAACATGTTGCAGAGTTTTAAAAGCTTTGTGTATATCGCTTTCTTCGTAATGTAGCAACCTGCATCTAGCATATTAATCAATCTCATCTGCTACTTTATTCTTTTAAGCCATCTATACCCAAGCTCCCAAATAATGAACGGACTAATAAAAGTTTACTTAGTTGGCAAAGAGGAATAGATTTTTATCAAATCAAGAAATGCTAGCATAGTATTAAAATACTTCTTTAAAAGTTTCACATATTAAGATATTCGATATTTTGTATTTTGTTATTACCGATTTGTTATGTTACTTGGTTACCGAGCTAGTTTCTCGAGATCGTGAGTACTAATATTCTTTGTTACATGAAAGTCTATAGTAACTTTATCAGTAAATTTCTTAAAAAAAAAATAATAAAATGTTGAATTTAAATGATAATTAAAGTTTAATAACGTTTATACATCAAGCATTAAGTCCATTTTCAACATATGCCTAGATACAGGGTGGCAAAATAGGGTCTACCTAAAAGAAAATACAGTAAAAAATATATTTTCAAAATAATTAACAGCCTAATGCCTTAATTATTGCGAAATTAATTCAAAAAAATAATAAAATGTTGAATTTAAATGATAATTAAAATTTTAATAACATTTATACATCAAGGTTTGAGTCCATTTTCAATATATGCCTAAATACATGGTGTTAAAATAAAGGCTACCGAATAGAAAATGCAGTAAGAAATATATTTTAAAAACTGCCTAAATTATTGCAAAATTATTTAAATATTTTTATGGATTTATTCCGTAAGTTAATGCCTTTTAATACTGTGAATATTTTTAGTCTAAGAGTTTTCCTCTATCATTCACCATTTTGCTACAATTATCCTTTGAAAAGCACTACGTACTGAAAACTGCTTTTCTCCAGTTCTTATTAATTAACTTATTTTTTATTCAAAAATCAATTTTTTTTTCGGATTGTTACTTTTATTGATAGCCTATAACTCGGTAAATATTGCGTATTGACACAGACCCCTACACCACTAAACCCCCTTATATGATAACATATTTTCCTTTCTTAAATCAAGAAAGAGAGTTATATAGAAAATACGTTGTTTGTGGTTTTAAACAGAATATTGTGTCGTACTAATAAGAGAATTATATTGAAGAGTAAAAGATATTCTTAGCTACTCAACTGTTGGTTCTGTTCTAATTATATATGAGCGTAGTCAGTCAAGCAGTCTAACATGATTTATATGGTATTCAGTATATATAGCTAAAAAAATATATAGATGTATATAGTTAAAGGGATATTAAAGTAATTGAAGGTTGAGAATACTGATAAAAATAAAGTTTTGTGTAGAAAGTTAGCAACTATATGCTTGAGTGCCGATAAACAAAATAATATTGGAGAAAATTAAACCTAATTCAAAACCATTGCAAACTGACGGGTGATGTCTGTGATCTGATTAATTTAATTAATTTTTATATCATGTAAGTTCTGGTCTGAAAACAGGTTTGAATAGATCTTCAAACACATTTTGTAGCTTTCTTTTAGAAATAAAACTACTTGAAGGTCTTCTTAAAATTGCAAAAATATATACTACATAAAATTTTACCTCTGGTAATATACCCTAACTTTTATGATATATCCTAATATACAATTGACTCTGCCTAGATTGCAGTATAAAAATATACTAATTGTAGACATTAGTCTAATTTCTAGGGTACTTGGATCTTGAAAATAACAGAGTTATTAATTTAATTTACAATATAATGTATAATGTATATAATAATATAATAATATATAATGTATATATAATATAATGTATAATCGACAAAATCAAATTACAAGTATTTTCCTGATTAGAAGAAATGAAATGTGCTGCTTTTTTTTTTGAAATGTATTATGAATTTTATCTCTCAGTAATCAGTAAATTTTACAACAGATTTTATAGTTATTTTATCGAATAATTATTTTCACTTAATACCATTGTTACGTATGCATACGTTATCTGATAAATCATTATGTTTATAAAACATGAAAAGGCTCACGCCTCGTTCCCCAAAATCTGTTTCAATATTAAAATGTTCGATAATAATTATTAGCTTTTATGACTTGTCGTAAAATTATAATTTTTTTTTGTTTAATGATTGTATTAAAAAAAAGATATAAATTGTTGATTATAGTTAATAGAAATTGTTAGTTACATTTGCCAATAATTAATAATTTTCACTTAAAGAAAGTATTGAAATACTTAAAGTACTTACATTCATTAACCAAGGATGGTTGGGTCCAGATTGAAATAAAAGTTCTCGATTGCCACTACCAGCAGAGTCTAAATTTATAAGAGCTCTAAAATAAAAACATAAAATACATTATTCATTTTTATTTGTAATTTTAATAAGTATTATTAAATAATTGTACAAACTCACTTGCAAGACGGTGCCCATTTGTGTTGTGTTATAAAACCGTGAGAGGCCTGTAGTGGAGTTTCTTCAGCACCATTAAAAAGGAATATAATGGAATGCTTGAAAGGTACGTGACTCGTTGCGAGTACACGTAGAGTTTCCAACATTACAACAACCATAGCGCCAGCATCGCCAGTACCTATATTTAAAAGTAAATTATTTTTATTATTAAAATATATAGGCTTACGAACTATAATTATAATATTGAAGAATAAAATACACTTACCTGGACTGCCAGCCTTGGAGTCGAAATGACTATTAATCAATAAAGAAGACGTACTTGTTGAGCTGCGTGTACTCAATTTCACCACCAAGTTCTGTACACCTTGATACATATTAATCATTTCCCAATGCATGTATTGTCCAGAAACGCGTTGTACATCAACTTCCATCAAAAACATATCATTGTTCATCACAGTACGGATTTTATCAACTTCATCTAGAAGTAATTGCAATGTCACATTTTCATTCGCATAGGTTCCTACAATTTTAGGTCCAATACGTTCCAAATCATAGAGTATACGTTGTGCGCGTTCAGCTATAAATTCATTAGGATGTGCATATTCCTCCACTAGTGTGAGACCTTCCGGTAAACGCAAAAACATAGGCACTGAGACAGCAGCTAAAAGCACAAACCAAAAAAGCAAAAATGTCGGCGCGAAACGGAATGGTAATTTTTCCGTAGGATCCGCTTGTTGCACAGTTTGACTTTCTGGACATTTGGAAGCATGACTATGGTGCGAACACTGCGTTATGGGCACCTGAAATTTATATTTTTATTTTTTTTAATACTATTAATTTAGAAACACTTTTCACTATTTCTTACAAGTTCTTCTCTGGAACCCATTTTTTCACTTTTCTAGAAAACTATTAAAAAATATTTTGTATGGAATTCGCAGATCCACACACAAATCACAACTGAATTCGATATAATACTCGCGCTTCTTATATAGAGTTTGCATTTTACTATACCTTTTATCGGAGATATTAAAACATATTAATTTTTATTACTTCATTGGTAATTATTAAGTATTCTATAAATTTATTGATACATAATTAACGAGTGCCAGTCAAATCGATATGGCAAAAATTTTAAACAATCAAGAAGTATGGGTTAGTTTGGGAAAAGATTTAGTTGGCACGTTTGACATATTAAAAAATTTCCATTCGAGCCCCTTTCCATACCATTCGATATCTATAGAAATAAGTTTTGAGATAAATTTTGTTATCTTTACGAATTTCAAATTATTAAGAAAAGTTATAAAGAGATGTGTTGTGCACTATATACAGTGAAAGCCTTCTTAAGCGAACACCGATGAGACAAGTAATACTAACCAATTAAGAGAACTGTCTGTTTAGGGAAAGTGCTTTTTATAAAAAATAAAATGTGGGGACTAGAAAATTGCATGATTAATGAATGATATATGTCTTTCATTTAATGGAGTTGTCACTGTACTGAAATTCGTAGGTGTATAAATGGTGATTAATATTTATTGTTAGTGACCTTTGTGTATAAAAAGTTTATTGCATTTTTTTTGTTGAATAGTAAGGAAGCAAAAATTAAGTATATACTATTATTGAGACACTTTATATGAATATATTTCATCGATGTGGTAACATATATTTCCGTATCACATAATTACGATCAAATGAATATTTATAATTAAAACTTAATTTTTATTCTTGTGTTTATACAAAATAGTTTATAAAAACTGAAAACTGTACCCAATGTATTTCAAATAAAATTTAACAAAAAAAAAATTATAGAATAGCGCATTACACAGTACAGGATCCTTTCTTGATGTAATTTTTAATTACTTTGCGTCGTATTGCTAGTATTATCTCGGCTGTTACTTGACAGAAGTTCATTTTCAAAGCATCTAAAGTTTAAGCATTGTGTACATAAATATGACACTTAAACACACCCCATAAAAAACCATACAAAAAATAGTATATAACACCGTCTTATTGAAATCACATATATTCCATATCTATATCTTTAATTTCACGACTCAAAAAATAATTGATTGTAACGATTAGAATTGACGGCTTTGATACAGGTCTTAGTCATTTTCAAAAAAGCTCGGTCCTATTATACCTCCAGACAAAATAAAACACCTTACAGTGACTTTGCGCAGATGTAATAGATTTTCAACGATTGTTCCAGTTGCAAGCATTTTATTTATAGACATATCCACGAAAGAAAAAAATAAAGCTCATCTCTAATGGAAATTAAATACGAGAAATCGGCACCATTTAGATAGTAAGTTTCTACAATTTAAGTATATTAAGCGGTTATTGAACGATCTATAACATAACATAGTAAGTTTTAAACCTAATATACCTATAATGCCATATATGATAGTTCTGCTTAACATATGAAATTGAAATACAGTTACTAAATCAGAAATAAACAACCATTATAACGATATCAAGACATCAATTGACGATTCCTAAAACATCAAATCTTAAGGCTATATTTGCTTTTGGTACATAAGAGAATGTTATGATGGTGCTAAATTATATTCTCATAAACCCCTGCCAATTTGGGATTCTTCAAAGTTAGTTAAATAGCTCTGTTGTGATAACTCGAAAAACCATTACGCAAACCCATAATATAATATAGGGCATATATTTTTGTATATTCAGCACTTCATTTATATTACATGTACTATAAATACCACAAACAAAAACTATGTACCGTACTAATATTTAATAAAACTATTATCAAACGTCTGCAATGAAAGCAGAAACAATAAAAGAATAAAAATTTGTTGATAAAACATATAAAACTAATATTTACTTAAATTTTATTATATACCACCTTGGGAGATCTGCCTTTTTTTAAATGTCAATGATCTCGGTGTAATAACTTTTTTTTGTTTTTATTTAAAAATTTTTTAAACATTTAATTTTATAATTTTTACAAAATTATTGCTTACTCAATTTAATTATAAATAAAAACTTATCACTGAATCCAATATCTTTTTTAGGATTTATTAGTCTTCGCAGAGTAGGTTAAGCAATATAATTAAATATTGAGTTTTGATGTACATAGCATCTATTTTAAAAATGATATAGTTTCAGTGTCTCAAGTGAATCAATATATGCAACAACTTACCTATCTGCAATCAGAGTCTGATAAAGTTGACCGGAAAACTATAAATAAAACAGAACTAGGTAACCCATAACAACCCATAACTAGATAACCCATGAAATCAACAGATATCAACTCTAGGTAACCCATAACTACTCGCATTCAAAAAGTACTACCGGAATTCGCTTAATTGCGCTAGTCCAGTCCTGGATTTTTAATACATGTGTAAAGTCTGAACTATTTGCACTTATTTGGTTGAGAAACATAGGTACTTACAACAGAAACTAAATGGATAGTAAAGTATTGTTACATAAATAGACGTCTGAGAATCATTTCGACTTTCTGAAAGCCCACGACTATTCGTGTTGAGATTCTTACAGATATAACTAGGTAATCTATTTAGAAATTGTCATATATCATATAAATATCATATAACAATGCAAAAATATTTCTAATTAAATTGACTAAACAGAAAATAATTTTTTTTTTAATGTTTTGTTTCAGAATCTTATATATAAACTAAAATTTGAATCAAACAAATCAATTTATAATCAATTTAATTAAATTGGAGACGCAAACATTATGCAATGGTATCGAATTCCTAGTCACAAGTTCACGTCATGAACTCTGGGCAACGTAAGAAACCTAAAAAACCAGATCCTTATAGAATGATGGACAAGTTTAAAACTAGTCTGAATTCAGTTGTTAGCGGACCAGTACTAATCTTGCGCCAGTTCAATATTTATAAACAAAAGCGCTCTAATTTATTATATATATCCTCTAGAAGAATTATGGAACTCTGTGTTCGAACCAGTTAATGGAAAGTTAATATGTTATACCTCTTTTATCTGGTCAGCTACTTTTTCGTTGCGTTTATAATTAAAGTATTAAACTAGGCTTAACATTAAAAACAATCACAGACAGATATCTTATTTCTGACCACAGGAATATATTAACCAACCAGTGTGGATCTTTACGTTACCACCAATGAGGTAAAAAGAACATCAGTGGAACCATTTTAACATAATGTATTTGAAGGTTTACTGTATTCTTACACCAAAGTGGTACAGCTACGAGTGACACCATGTTTGTTTGACTATGGAATCATATGGGAACTGATATGTCCCATGTGACTTTCAGGGTTCTAGAAATTAAACTAATCAGTTCGAGGAAGACGTTTTGAATTGAATATATGCATAAAAGCAAATTCGCAACTTTTGTTGACTTTTGAGTCAGTTGAATACATAAAAAAATCTCAGGAGCAACCTACTCATTTAGATCCTACTATCTATTGTTTAACCGCTACTTAACACAGGACCTCAACTGTTAATTGTGGAATTAACAGTGTATGCTTATAATCTTAGAGCTGAAAACTTCTGTGAATGATCTATAAACATTGGCTAGGAAGTTTTTTCTTATTTATAGCTACGCAGTTGCAGAAGAGTTGTTAACAATTTCTTCCTAATATCCACAACTTCTATAAAATTGATATACTGGGAGTTCCTTTTTATCAACTTTATAGCGGGGCTACCAAATAGCAAGTGACCAGTTATGCAAGTCACAGTCTTAGATATATCCTCTTTTTGTTAGATCATACCTGAAAACATAAACAATTCTCTTATGCTAATTATTGAGATCACGGTTTTTCAGGCTGAAGTCTTATCAATAAAAGAATTATATCGGCAAATTGCAAGTCACATCAAGGACGAATATAGTGATGTCATTTTAATTGACAACCAGGCAGCATTCAAAGCCCTTGAATCATTTACAGCAAAATGAAAGATAGTAAAAGAATGGTAAGTCGAGCTAAATCGATTCGCTGACATCCTGGATATAGGAACATCGAAGAGAACTAGCAAGCTGACAGTTTATCCCGCTCTGGTGCTTCCCTGGATGTGTCTCTGGCAGTACCGGTTTATATTATCCTAGAGACCATTAAGAGAAGTACTTAATGGATTTAGTCTGTTTTCTTCTATTTCAGTTTTCAATCCTATGAGGAAGTAAATCAGTTATGTTATTCTGCTTGGAACTGCAATTTTCCTTTTTTTCTTATTTTATGGATTATTATATATATAAATGGGTTGTTATAAATGTAAAGCAATTGAATAAAAGAAAACAAGATAGTAATATTTTTTGCCAATTAACCATTATAACGATTTTTCCTACCATATTATTCTAACTATATACTATGGCGTAGACTCGATTGTTTACCGAGAACAATAAAAATATTATATCTTATATCATTAAAAAATAAAAACTATATAATTGAAAATTAATAAAAGTGCCGTACTTTTTGCCGACTTTGTTTATTCTCATGGGGTTTAATTTGATTTTTTTTATCAATATTTGATTTATGTTATCAGTTTATAATTAATAGAACTTAATAAAGATTTAATTGTTCAAAAGGAGCTAATTACCCCACACGCAGATGCTTCAGTTTTGGTCTATAATATTTTTATTACACTTTCAAAGTGAACATTAAAATTTGAACCTTACACTTTGAGTTTGTGTATAATTTCTTAATTTATATTTTTATTAGGTTGAATTATAAATTCTTCGTCACGATTATTGTATCAATTTAAAAGTAAAACCCAAAGGAACATACAAAATCAAACTATACTTTCATGTCGGTGATTTTAGTTATTCAAATATTGCAAATTGATTCTATGAGATAAAAAAAATATAATTAAAAATACTGATCCAAAGTTAGATCTTAATATATATATTTAATACATTAAATATTTCAAACTTGATGATAAGAAGAAATCGTTTTGATCCCATCTCGGTCATCCAAAATGTCTCTGCCAGAATACAA